TTTTTTTTTTTTTTTTTTTTTTTTTTGAGTCTCAATGCTAAATCCAAGATGCTACTAGTAAAAATGTCTTGCTTTTTTGAAAGTCCACTTTGTGAAAGTTTGTCTGTTTTCTGGTAGCTTTCTGCACTGGCCAATATTTTTAGCTAGAGTTCTCTGCCTCTGAACTCTTCTTATATTTATCTTGTGTTTTAAATTAAATAAYGACATTAACCTTTGCAGACATGAGTTGGATGACATCACTTAAACTATTTTTTTTCCTCTCTCTCTTTACTCAGGTTGGCTGAACTATCCATTAGAGAAGATAGGATTCTGGAGGTGCTTGGAGAACATCATCCAAGGAGTCACTGGAGAGAAGCCAAGAGCAGATGACATGAAATGGGCTCAAAAAATTAAATAACTCTTGCCAGCCTTCTGCAATCCTCATCTTTGTTGCCAATGTTTTTTTTAAAAAAAGAAAGCCATCAGCCAAATTCAAGACTTGCAAAGAAATAACAGACTCTAAAGCACAAACTAAGAAGTGCTAACACAGACTGTAATTAAAGAACTAATTCTTAAAACAATACTTGAAGATGATTACTGAGCACCTTTTGTTTAGCCATGTCTGCTTACATCTTAGAAAATACTTCATCACTGTATCTTGTAAAAGCTATCAGGCAAGCCAGAAGGCAGGACAGTCACTCCATTTATACATGGTGGCAGAGTAAACATGTGTTGTATCAACATTATTTAACACTTCAAAACTAGCTTGTTGCCTAAAACCTACAGGGGGAATGGTGACGAGAGCTTGTCACGCTGTGGTTGAGTCCAAGTGCACTGCATGAAAACAGTGTGTCAGAGCAACGGAAGCCTATAAAATCATYGCTGTTCAATGCACTTAGTGGTTGGTGAACATGCAGTTCCATCTTCACTATCATGTTAAATCTAGTTGATGTAATGTGGAACAAACTTTGAGAATCCCACTCTACCAGTGGGTCACAAGTCCATAAGTGTCTTCAGTTTCCCTTAAACTAAACTTGTTCTACTCTCTACATAGAATTGAGCAAACCATTTCTGCATAAGCYTTCAACTGTACCTTAACAGATATCTGAGGAGAGGGAGGGCACACTGCTGTACAACACGGGCTGGTGTTCGTTCCTGGGGAGTGCTCACTGAAGAGAGCCTTCTATTAAGTGTTTCCTACCCTGATAATAAGTGTTTAAAATAGTTCTAGCATTGGGCRTATTGCAAATAGCTGTATTCAGGAGCTCAAGGTATCAAACTTGTGACGTTAGAAGGGAAATGTCAATGATATTTTTTTTAAGGTGCTTGCTTGTTTCTGTAAATAATATAAAGCCTTAATCTCTTCTTGTGTAATGGAATAATATTTTAATGTGATGTTTGAATGTATATAATATTTATAACAAAACAGTTGGATAATACTAATCATGTTTGTTAAGTCTTGTTGCTTGTTCTTCATTCATGCATTCTCCGTGTTCTTTTAAACAACAGTGTTCTGATCAAGTTCAAAAGTTGACTGCTTAGCTGCTGAATACTTGACATTATTCCAACCATCTGAAACACTCTGCAGCCTRTTGATTGCTTCAGCCTAAACAAGAGTTAATTATTTTTCAGCTTTGTAAGAGCTTGATGCTGCATTACCCAGGACATCACTACTTTTCCAGAAATGCAACTCATACTGCATTAGATATCAAGGATTAACTGCTGGACTGGGGAAAATATCTTCCCTTAATGCATTCTTAAGTGTCCATAGCTAACAGGCGCTTTGTCAAGTGAACATGCTCCAGATCATGTTTGAGTCTCTCCTAAATGAAAGCTTATTGAAGGTGAAATCTAAGTGTCCTTTTCCTCCTCAAGTGTAATGGTCTTGCAGTCAAACTGTCCTTTCCTTCAGTGCATGGTAAGGGGTTTTTAAGGACTAAGTAAGCTTTGTTTAGACTAACCTTAATCTGAACTTATTGTGCCTGTAAGCTTCAAATACAAGGGACCATATCCTTGTAAAGGATGAGAACTGGACAACTCTGCTTCCCTTAGAGCTCCTGAATGGAGAAGTGTCTGAGCTGGTTCTAGGGATTGAAGTCCCAGCTTGTGTTTTGGTTACAAAATACTTAAGGTGTTTGAATGAATGAACTTYTTTACCATAATGCAAGATATGGCACAGTCAATATTGGGTTTCCATGTACTCTGGGCAGTTAAAAACATGCTACTAGAGAGGGGTCCCAAAACACTGTTATTTGAAGGTGGGTTAAGAGGGAGAGACTCCTTTAATGCTGGTGCTGTGACAGATGTGTGACCCTGTATTAGGGTTGAGGAAGAGTAGGTGGTCTCCTCTTTCCCCAGCCCCTCCAGGAAAGTCTTGGCAAAAAGCTGTGTCCGGGAGCACGTGGCCCTGGGGAGAGCAGCCACCTCCATCCATGCTTAAGTGGGCACAGAAGGTTGTGGTGAGCTGGCTTGTGCTCAGYTAATTTTTGCCTATATCTTGTCCCAGATCTGGGCCTTGGAGCACTCTTCATGCTGAAACGTTGGGCCTAGAAGGTGTGAAAAGTGTTCAAGAAGCTCTGGGTGCCGGTGAGTGAGAAGGCAATGTGCYCTGGACGAGGAACGCGGCTCCTCCTGTCTCTCCCTCTCCAGTGCACAAGCAGCCTCCACTTGGAGGTGGAAAATCCTCCTCCAGAAACAGTGTCTCACGCTGTGAGCACCAAGAACTGCTGTACTTATTTCCGAGGCTTTTGCATTGACCTAAATGTAAATTCATCCCRTCTCCTAGCTCGTGTCTCCCCTATCCGTAGTCTTGCAGACTTGCTCGTCCTTGTCTCACCCTCCTCTCAGTCTCCTCCCTCACTTCCCCTTCCCTCCCTGCGCCCAGGTTTGTTAACAAGCCCAGTACAGAGCCTAGGTCTCCCGTGCAACCCAGCGTTAACCGCTAAGCCAGTTATAGGATGATCCTTACTGGGAAATAACCAAGAGAACAATAGTGCTGCGGGGTGCAGAGCAGGTGAACGTGAAACCCTCACCTGACCTCGCACACAAAGGGGCTTGTTGAAGATAATTGCTTGCTTGACCCCTGCTGTCTCAGTTGCGTTTTCCAGGAGCTTTAGCAGAAAAAAAATCTGATCTTGTGTAATTGTAAGAAACTGGGACAACATTTAATCTTTGGCGGCTGTTTTGCACAGTCCTAAGCGCAGTCGTGGGCTAACGGAGCACTCGCRTGGGGATGCAGCCCGGAGTTAGTGACTCCCGTGTGACAGCGCTGCCCTCCAGGATCCTTCCCTAATACCTGCTCAGCAGGCAGGAGAGTGACAGGTAATCCTTGATCTTTCCCTGGCCTCTGTGAGCTCAGGGGAATATCCCACAGCTTCCTAATCCTGAGGCAGGTTAATGAATCCCTATGAGTTAGCTGCCTTCTTTCATTCTTCACTTGGTTTCTGGAAACTGTTTTACCAGTGCAAATGGGAAATGTTGCTGTAAAATCAGTTTGGCATTTCCGGAGYGTGGCTATGTGGATGCTCCTTAACAGATGTAAATCTGGTTTAAGATAAATTTATCCTAAGTTGATTAGGAACAGATTAGAGCTAAAGCAGAATAAGCCATTCCTTTTAAACTCTAGAGCGATGGCCTGTTATTTCACTTTTAACCACTCAATTTTAAAGGCCATTTGATTTAAGCCTAAATCTTTTCTGCAGGAGAAACACGGTTAGGTTTTCCCTGCCTGGATCTTCAGAGCAGGCAGAAAGACTTTCCAAAAGCTGTGCAGGCCTTTAGCTCCTGCTGAGAGCGCCCGGCAGCCTGTAGGCTCCTTGTAGGCTCGTGCCTACGGGGGCTGGTGTTGCCGCTTGCTCCACCGTCCCCGCTGCTGTTTTAGACGCCTCTGCTCCCCCATAGCCCTTCCTTGTGATGCTCTTTGCATGGACAACTGCTCCTTTCTCCCCGGAAAGGAGGGGGCAGTGCTGGCTGCCCTTGGCCACGCTCCCCATGCTGCCCGCAGCGTTGCGGCTGGTCCCGCTGGAGGGAGCGGGACCGGAGCCGCTCGCGGACGGAGCAGCCGCCGGTCCTGCGCAGCGCCCGGGCGTTCGCTGGGCTCTCGTGCCACCTAGCTGTGCTGGCGGCCCCGCGGCCCCACACGGGAGCCAGCGGCAATGAATGCGCCCAGTCGCACCAGCGCTGCAAGCGTAGGCGACAGCGAGGGCACCTGGGCTGATGGAAAAAGAGAAGCCAGGCGCATTGAAGTTGCCCATAGCAGGTAAAAGGCCTGGACCAGCCCAATGCACCTCAAAGCGCTTTGCTGTGTAATAGCTTTGCAAGGTCTCTTACGATGCCTCGGGGCAAAGGTTTGGAGATCTGTGTTGCAGCACAAAGCAGAACTCCTTTCCCTTCACATTTTTATTCTTATGAATGCACTGATGGRAGAAAGCTGGGACAAACCAGCAAATATTCCTGGTTTCCCTTTGTATCTTCTGGCCTGCCCACATTCATACCTGCTGCTGCAGGCCCGAGGACATCCCCTTGCAGGACTGGGGTCACGAGCAGCTCTGCAGCGCGGCCGGGAGCCCCGGGGCACCCCCAGGGCCGGGGCCGTGCAGCCCGCCCGCCCGCGCCGCTCTTCCGCCGGCGCCCGCCGTGCACCTAGGAGCTCGCCGCCCCGCCCCGCCCCGCCGCGGCTCCTCCTTGTGGCGCCCGCGCGCAGCGGCACTTCCCGCGTTGAGGTGACGTGGGCGGGAGGGAGGCCGGGCCCCGGCGACAGCGGCGCAAGATGGCGGCCACCACGGGTGCGGGTG